CTCCATCATCCAGCACTAACATATTTTATACTTATATGTTATCTGTGCTGTGCTCACCACAATATCGAAACCCGAATAAAATGTCAGTTTGCATCTTGTCATTCCAAGCTAAGAAGACTGAGTATTCCGTTAAAACCAGCACTAAGTTACACATTGTGCATCATGTCATTATTATTTGTCGATGAATTGTGAAATATTTAATATTTTCAGATTTCATAAGTTTATTGTTTCGTAACAATTGTGAATATACTATACCTGGGATTTTTGAGAAAATAAATGCATTTTCTTTTTGCAAGATCAGAACATTAATATCCTCCCATAGATTGAAAAAAGCAACTGACAAGATAAAATCAATAACCAACACTTCGATCCTACGTTGAAACACGAGTAAGTAGTCCACTAGATATAATAACAGCACTCTGGTGAACAACAGGTTTAGGATCGACATCTAGCGTGAAAATAATTCGTTCAATGCTATCGAAGAAGTACAGTTTAATTATTAGTAAAAAGCTGAGATTACATAGTGTTACTAAATTAAGAAAAAAATGTAAGGACAAAAAAATGTTTGTCTAAAGCCCAAATTGCCTTTGAAACATTTAATTACAATAAACAACTAATATTGAAACATAACAGAATGATAATTTCAAAGTGATTTTGTCATTATGAATTGACAAAAGAATTGTCATTATGTTGTCCAAAATTCCAGGAAAAAAAGAGTTTTAGTAAATTAAGTCTCTTATTCATATCGTTAATTATCTACAACATGTAATTACCTTTAAAAGAGATTTACAGAAAGCCAAAATGTGTATCGTTTGGAGTCTGTAATGTATATTTCAAATCAACTACTGTTAAACCGAACTTTCGGACCTTGAAATTTATCTGATACTCTAATATTTATTCTCAATGTCTACAGATAAGAAGTAATATCATGTCGTTTGTATTCTGTTTTCTGAAAGGATATTACTCCACGACGTAAGGTGTTCTTCTGCTATTTAAGGTTTATAAAATTAGAAAGTACAGAAATTCATATAACAAGATAGGAATTTCCAAACTTTGTTTTATAGTCAAGGAGAAGATTAATTGTGTAAATGTTTAAGAGTTAATCGAACGTGTTGGAAACTTTTATCTTTACTACTATTTTTTAGTATACAAGAATTAAAAAAAGTAATAAATTTCACAAGGAGTGGTATTCGAACCTGCCTATTGGAGTGTAGCTTTGACAAAACTAGTTACTGTGTCTCGTTTGCTAAAAACTTCTGTACCTACAGTAGCTAAAGCACCTGCCTGGCCCAGCTTTCGTTTAAGAAAAATCTAACTTGACAGAAGAGTGTGTCACTCTTTCCACACATAAAACAAAGTCAAGTTGGATATCAAATAACATGATGAGAAATGAGTCAGTTCGGAACAGCATTGCTCAGTTGATCATGATATTGTATCTGTTATCCAGTATAAACAAAATATGCTTTTTATTTCCTTGCAAACCACTACAAAGTTAATAAAATATAAGTGCTCAGTCTGATTCCATAGAAAAATTGGATCAAATTATTTTTCATTACGAAAAGGTACAAAGATATGATTTTAAACAAAATTTACACTAGACGGCATCGTGAACTTAAAGACATTCTCTGCAATCGATTTATTTGAGTCGATGAGGACTGATATAGCGTTAAACTGCAGCACTCACCTCATCCTGATATGAAATTTATCCGATATGAGTAAATATGTTTTATATTACAAATATCCATTAAAATATCTTGTTGAAAATTTCTGTTTGAATAAATATTATTTCTAGTCATAGTTACCTTACATATTATATGAAAATTATTGCCACGAAACGTTTAATTGAATAGATATGTTACTTTATCAGCTTTGGATAATGTTATCCTTTTTTCTTTATTGTATTTTGTTTGCTTTTGGATATTCGCGCAACGCTACTCAAAGGCTAACTTTGCTAGCCGTCCCTAATTCTGAACTGAGAGACTAAAGAAAAAAGTCCATAGTAAGCTGCACTCACCGCATTATCTTGGGTTACTCTTGTCTGAAGGATGTAACGAATTTGTTATTATATATTTATTTCAATATCAACGTTTGTTTAGAATAAGTTTATATTTTAAAACATGCATAGCTTATAGTGTTAAATATTATTGCGAAACCCCCGCCTATTCTCCAAAGTTGTAGAATATTCTCGAGAGTAAGGATCAACAATACATGTATATACTGAAATTTCTAGAACGCCTCCACAAGCCTATAAGTATAACCATCGCGACGCGCTGAAAGGAGAGTATCTATTATTAATTTGCTATAAACTTTGGAAGCTATGACTGGGGTTGTTATAACGCTTATCAATCGGAAAACTTTGACCAGGAGCATTTACAAAGCTCAAACATTACAAATCATTTAACTTCAGTGGATTCTCATCTGACATTAGTATTTTTACGACAACATTATATAAATTCATCGTGGCCGATAAATAACGAAAGAAAAAGCTAGCTAGCTTCCCGTTAAGAGAAACATACCTATGTCAACTCGTAATCAACTCGCTCATCGTGAACCCTCGATAAGATATCGAAGAAGTTCCAGATTAAAAGAAAGATTTTATATTGCTTATAAGTTTATGAAACTTTTCTTTATAGATCATTGTTTGTAATAATTGTTGTTGTAAATTGTATTGTTGTGTGTATATTAAACGTATTTGTGTTAAAAAAGAAAACTTTGTGTATCAGTCTTGTTGGCAAATATCGTAAACTGACTACATATCGGTATATACTTAACCACTAAATCCAAAGTACAATTTAACTATTAAATTTAAATTATCAGTTAACTCAATTTCAGACCATTTGAAATTCTGATACGTAACACCGAATTGAAGGATTTAACTAACATCCTTATAATGCATCCACAGTCCTAAAGTGCGAAGCTCTATTTTTTCGGCAACGGGAAGCGAACGCTGGATCTGCAGTAATATACTCCGGCATACAAATCACCGACCAACGCTCGGCTTTATTATACTTGTAATTAGCGAGTAGCAGTTCACGAAACATAATAACGAAACTTTTAAAATTCGATTACATTCGATTTTATATCCTCTTGATATCTTTTGTGAAATAGATTATTTAGATATCTTAAGACGATGCTGTCTCTGCCTATATTCATACAGAACGAGGTCAAATTACTGTCTGCATTCAAACATAAAGTATACTATTCATTCGTTAAAATATGTAATAATTCATTTTTTTAACCTGTTTGCCTATCTTTATAAAATGACTCAAAGAACCAGGAAAATATTCAGTTCAAAAGCTTTGTACTAACTTCACACATTGAAATATTTTCTGTGAATACACAAAGTCTTGAAAAAAACATTTAAATACAGATTTAAAATTTAAAAAAAAGAGTCTGTTATGGTCTGGTGGTTAGATAGCTTTTGGGTCGCAAGTTCGCCCCATCACCGAATATACTCGTCCTTTAAGCGGTGGGGATGTTCATTGGTTATAGAGTAGACCAAGAGTTGGCAGTGGGTGGTATTCACTAGCTGTCTTCCCTCTAGTCTTATAATTTCTAAGCCCTTTGCGCGAAATTCAAAAACAAACAAAATATAAACAACGAAGCAACAATAATGACGTCTCCGAGATTTTTGAATTTCATTGTGTAACGCTGCAATATCACAACACTTAAAATATCCTTATAACTAATTGTATGTTAGGATTTCTCCTCACTTACAAAGCTTCTGTGGCTAATGGTGCTATAAGATATTTGTGGTTTATGATAAGAATTATTATAATATATTCGAGACTGTTTGTTTGTTTTGAATTTCGCACAAAGCTTCTCGAGGGTTGCTTGCAGTAGCCGTCCGTAATTTAGCAGTGGTAGACTAGAGGGAAGGCAGCTAGTCATCACCACCCACCGCCAACTCTTGGACTACTCTTTTACCAACGAATAGTGGGATCGACCTTCACATTATAATGCCCCCACGGCTGAAAGGATGAGCATGTTTGGTGGGACGGGGATTCGAAACCGCGACCCTCAGATTGCGAGTCGAGCGCCTTAACCACCTGGCCATGCCGGGCACGTTCAAGACTATTTTGATTTAGTTAGAAACCCACATTTTCATATGATATATACAATACTTTTACGACATTTAAAACTTCATTTTACACAGCTTTGCACCCCCACAGTATCATTATAACTGAATCCTTTGTGATTAGTTGTGCAAAAACAAATTATTTATGTACGTTTGTGACTGATAGAACAGTATTGTTACATTATCCTAAAATACATTTTGTTTTGTTTACGGTTTTGTTCTATATCAGCTCAAACGAGCATACGAGAATAAAAGCTCCAATCAGGAAACTGTACTTTTATGGTTAAGTTAATTCATCTTAGGCTCACATGATGTCAACTTTACTCCCGAAAATGATGGCAACAATCACTCGATAACTTGATAATCCTGAAGATGCTTTCCAGTGAAAAGAAGGTAAAAAATATGATGTTCATGGACAAAACTTTCTGCGTGAAGTAATCAATTATCCACACGATATGTTTTTATGTAATTCATAACAAACACTATTAGCACATGTTTTATTAATAACATAATTACAACATTATCAATAAAAAGGAACTAAAAAAGCATAAGACATTTCAAAGTAACTTTATACTTACAGAAACAATAATAAAATAATGGAAGTGCTGAATGATTTTTACGTTAAAAGGTTTTTAATAAAACTGTAGATAATATATATACATATTACAGTAAACACTTTCATGTTTAATACTTAGACAATTTTGAAAATAAAAAATTGAAACTTCAAAAAATATAATATTACAATACCATATGAAATTTCGTAACAAAGATTAGTTATATTAGAATATTAAGGTTTATTTAAAATAACATTTATCAATTCAGAGCTCATTAAAATTATAAATTTGGTGTTGCTTTACATATAATTATATGTATATATAACCTTTTTTTAAATAATGATACTAATTCCAAACATAATATTTTTGTTTCATTAACCACAAAGTGTCTATTTTTCACAATTCTCCAATACGATCATAATTTGATAAACTAGAGCTCAATGAAAAATTGCAAGGTTGTTTTTCACATTGCCATAAAAAATCAATCAAACGCAATACTCTATGTAGTTATGTTCAATACAACATTTGTCGTGCGTCAAAAGAGGCTGGTTTTGCTAGTAGGCAAAAATATTAATCACATATATGGAATTTCTGTTATCAAAAGAGATATGTCTTTTAAACTGCTGTACAGAAACAGCTAAAATGCCTTATTTCATTAAAGCATTAAAATATTGCGTTCATTTTAGCAGCTTGAAATGTTTATTAACTTTAACATCATTAATACACTCGTGCATAAAGGATAACTCAACAAATGTAAAGTTATTATTGTAAAATAATTGATGTTTGTATGATAAACAGATACATTAAAACGTTATAAATGTTATTTTTACAAAACATGTTAGACAGCATAAGCTTTAACAGTACATTGGTTTAAGCCTCACATATTGAACATTTAAATGTTGACACAAGGCTGGTTAAAGCTTGAAATCTTGAACCTAAGACAACAGATAGGTGAAGCCTAATAAAGGGATATATGGACCATAGACACTTAGGACATAAGGGGCCCGTGTCTCCTCCTACTTTTTTCCAGTTATTAACAACTAGATTGATAGCTTTCTTGCCCCTCCCCCACTTTTCAACAAAGTTAGGCAGTCGTAAGATGTATTCTAAATCAAAGATCCCTGAGACTAGTACAGGGGTTTCTTGAACCAAAAATGGTGGAAGTCTCAAAAAGGAATTACTTGAAACTAAAACCAAAGATAACTGAATTCTGATACAGGTGTTGCATGAAACTAAAATAAGGCTAGCTAAAGTCTGATATATTGGCAAATTCAGTCTTAAGCCTAACATAATGGAAGTCTGATAGAGGTTACATTAACTTTAGCAGAAAACAGGCTAATAATTTACAAAGATTGCTTGAATCTTAACACAAGAGTGATTAAAAACCTATTACATGGGTTGTCTTGAACATAATACACGAGATATTAAAATCTAAAATAGGGGTTTCTTAAATCTTCAAATAAGACTGGTTAAAGCCTGCCACAGGTGGTTCGTGAAAACTGACTCGGATTTAATTGAAATTAGACACAGAGAATATTTACATGGTAACACAAGGATAACAAAAGTCTGACAAATTAGTTACAACAACCTTAAAACAAGGCTGATTGGGTTTAAACCTTTGAAAAACTCAAACTTTTATTAAATAGTTTCGAATCCCTAGTCAGAACGAACTTTCTTTAACTTTATGACACAGGAGGCACTTAATTTTGTGGAAGACAAAGCGGGGGTCAACATTAAAAAAACGATCATGCAAGTTATTTATTATTTTAATAAGATTTTTCGAAATGCTTTTCGAAAATCACGATTAAATATAGTATAAATAATAGGATTAATGGCTGAATTAAAATACCCTAGCCAAAAAGCAATATCAAACCCTGTATCGCTAATTTTACAATGTTTGCAAATTGCAGATAGTACATATAATACAAAGAAGGGTAGCCAAGCTAATATAAAAGCAGCCATAATTAGTCCTAATATAACAGTTGCTCTTCTTTCTCTTGCTTTCGCAATCTTTCGTTTTTGTCTCTCAACAGCAGAAGAAGCATAGCTTCTTGTGGGTTCGTTAAAGGTGCACTTCCCGAGATTGCTTTTTCCTCTTCCGTAAATGTGTCTTGTTTCATAAAGTTCATTGGCGTTACCTTCTTTACTATAATTTTCCAAAGAAAGCGTTGATCCAAAAGTAGTTTTGAGAACTCTTGGTGTTTTCAAAAGTAGAGAATAGGGGCCAGGGTGAGCATTAGACTTGGAGATGCTGTGTATGCTATAAATAGACTTTTGTTCATCATCCCTAGAACCACTGCTGCCGCTAATCGACTGCAATGGAAAATGCACAGTTGGCTTTCTCCCTTCTTCTTGTTTCATTTCATGTTCTTTATCGGAATCCTCCCGTTCTTCTGCCGAATTTTCTAATATAATCTGAGGTCTGGTTGGAGTAAGTTTAAAGTGCTTGTTATGGGCTTCACCATTTCCGTTAGTCTTTAGTTTCTCAAAAAACATATTTCCATACAGATCTTTCCTCTTATCTGGAGGACTAGGGTTACTGAAACTCGTACACGTGGTTGTTGTCGTAGTCGTAGATTTATCCCTCCCTGGGTCATTTGTGACTTCTGGTTGAGCTCTCTTTTTTACATGTCTTCTTGCTCGAGAGCGCGCAGCGAAAAATATCCGTATATACACGAACACCATTACTGCTGCTGGGATGTAGAATGATCCTAAAGCAGAGTACAAGACATAACCAATTTCTTCGCTAACTTTACACTCGGGATAATCTGTCGGTCTGTCTGGTTTCTTCCATCCCACTAACGGTGGAAGGGAAATAAGACCAGATAAAAACCATACAAAGCAGATCATAGCAATTGCTCGTGTCGGAGTCCTTTTTTTCAGGTATTCCACCGCATGGGTGACAGACCAATATCTGTCAAGACTTATAAGACACAGGTTATTTATTGATGCTGTACAAAGAAGAACATCAAGAGCGGCATGAATTTCACACCAAATAGTTCCAAATATCCAATAACCCATTAATTCATTGGCCAATGAAAATGGCATGATAACAAGCCCAACTAGAAAATCTGAAACAGCGAGAGAAGCGATGAACCAATTCTGAACAGTTTTCAATGACTTTTCTGTTGCGATTGCTATACAAACAAGCATGTTTCCGACAACAATTAGCACCATGAGAAAAGAGACAAAAAATGCAATAAGAATAATTTGTGTTTGGGAGTAACCACTTGGATAAGGAGCTCCTCCCCAAGGTTTCTCCCACTCTACATGATTTGTTTGATATTCTGTTGTTTGTCCCATCAATGAAGACGACTCGTTTACTGTTGTATTTGTATCATTCCACTCCATCGCTGTCTCAAGCACAGAAACAATCGTAACGTTGTTTAAAATATGCGAGGTTATCATTCTCAGTTCAATTTAAGAGAATCGAGTTTTTCGAGTTTCATTTTGAAAAGCATAGAAATAAACACCATACACTGATCACTTACAAAAAGATGGTATTCTAGATTGGTCCAAGAATGTAGAACAGATGTCATCTTGATAGAAAGCACCTCTAAGATGACAGAAGGACAACTATAAAAACAATATAAAGTATATAATTAATATATTGACCTGTTAGTTTATTTACACAATTCTTTTATAGAGAGTATAAATAAATCAATGAAACTAGATTTTTAAATGTTATAGTATAATAACTGAATAATCAATTATATTTAATCTAAATATTAAAGCCACTGAAATATAAGTTGTGCTCTAATCGTATATAAAGTAAAATTCCATAGAAAAGAAAACTAAGATAAAACTAGCAAAATGTGTTTATAGTATATAAGACAGACTGCGAAGCAATCAACATAACTAAAAATTCAAACAATCGATTCTTCAATGAACACACTGGGCTCAAGGGGAAATAATACTCAATCTTCATTAAAACATGACAGAATATTTCATGATTAAGTATTAATTTATCAAATATCAATAACATCATCAACTACGACAATCATTTAAACTAACTGTTTAATTACTATTTCGTTGTCACTATAAAACAAGTATTATAAATTCACGATGTAAATTTATGTCTTCGAAACAATAATTCTGCAACAACTTGTTTGTTTGTTATTAAGTACAAAGCTACACAAAGATCTATCTGAGCTCTGCCCGCCACGGGTATCGAAACCCGGTTTCTAGCGTTTTAAGTGCGCAGACATACCGCTGTGCCACTGAGAGGGCTTCTGCGATAATGTAAAGTTAAAAAATCGAGAGTTTGTAATATTGGCAGTCTTAATAAGTTTAAAAAATCCCATTTTTGCTGTACAATATCTTTATTTGATCTGAAAAGATTTGTGGAAGTATAGTTTCATACTTATTAGGCCAAAACGATAAGAAATGGTCATGATCTGATCTGAAATTTGTAGTACTTATTCGTTCACTATTCTCAAGATATAAACTATTCTGTTATATATACAATTAAAAGGACAAGAACGTTAAAAAATAATTGCGCTATTAAAAACTTTATGAAACATAGGGACCAGCCCTAAAAAATACTCTACATGTTTCAGTGTTCTTACGCCATCATCTTTAGGAGTAAAAGTTGAAGTTTGACCAAGACATATATAAATAGATAATCATATGCATTCCTTTGGTGCCATCTATAATTAAACACCCAGAGTTTACAAACCAATTTCTCCGCTAACTTTACACTCAATGTAAAAGCGCCAAAGGAATGCAAATGATTACGTGGTTATATAAATCTTGATGAAACTTCAAGTTATAGTTTTGAAGATGTTAGCGTAAAAACAGCGAAACGTGTAGGGTCTTTTTAGGACTAGTTCCTGTTTTTAATCAATTATTTATTGTGTAATTATCTTAACGTTGTACTCTTTTTAATTGTATATATATTGCACAAGTGCTGTTATTTTAAATTACTTTTAACGATTCTTTTTTATCTTTGTGGCTATTTACAACAACAATAAGATTAGAATTGCTTATTTCAGTTTAAGACAGTTTAAATGTCGTTACGTTTAATTAAATTAGCCACTATTCCATTATTTATAACTTAGATAGATTATTGACTCTTAGGGGTATAACAAAGATACTAAGTATAGTCATCAGAAAATGTCATAGTGTTTGTTTTTTTTACTATATAAGCATTTTGAGATGTCACGACACTCAAATTATATTCTCTTATAATAATAACAATCATACAGACATCGTCTTTGTTAGCTCACATTAAACCGCTACTAGATATCAAATTGAAAAGTTTAATTTCCGATGAATCAATTATATTTAACATAATTAAAATAAACTAATTAAACAGAGAGAAGTAAATGAATTTTCGGACTCTAAACAAATTATCTTACTTTTACTCGGTTCACCAACTTCCAGCCATCAACTAACCCGTCTGGTTTTGATTTCAGTTCATAGACATCCAGTTACTAAGTAACCTGTATGACTTTGATTCTGTTCATAGACTTACAATATTCGTGTAATCTATTGGTTTTCGACTCGATTGTTGGATTTCAAGACTTTAGAAATTATGATCCATTAAACTTGATCATTTCAAGGTCTTCCAATAACATAGCCGACAGTTACTTGGTTTATGATCTTTGTGACTTTAATAATCCATATTACTTTGATTCTGCTAGTGAAATTATGTAAGTGCAAATACTTCAATAATTCAAATAAATCATCTGGCTTTTCATAGATAACTATCTCACTTTGACTGTCCTGTTTTTAAAGACATTCAGGTTCACATTAAGCTAACTGATTTAAATTTTACTAATGAACTTCTAGCTTCCAGTACAACCTAAAATTGTCATCATTATTTGGAATTTAATATTTGAAGTGTTCATGCCATTTTGATTTGTTTTTATGTCAAACAATTTACCATTGCTCTAGCTGACTTTAGAAACTTCCCACAAACGCATTCATAAATTTAAAAGTAAATCAGTTTCTCGTCATTAAAACTTGACATATTTTATAACTCACTGATTGTATCACAGACTAGATCATCCATTTTAATTTATAAGCTTCTAATCAATATTTACAACTATGTTTCATGCAATTGCCTATTTAAGTATGGCGAACCGGAAGAAGGCCGTTTCACTATCCAGTGACTTAATTAGTTTACTCAATATCATTTCTTTTCATGTCTGTCACTAACTTATCAACTTTATGCCCATTCTACCGAGATTAAGCATTCTCTAAAAAACTAAGTTTAAACAAAAGTGCAATGAAATCACCCTTTTCTTTTACAACAGAAGTAAATTAACTGTTTTTCAGTTCTTATAAGTTTACAGTTTACTAGACCCGACGAATGATAAAATAAACCAGAGTAACTAATGGATTCCAGTCGACGGGTGGTTATTACGGCCCTGAAATTCAAATTATCCGAAAAGAATTTCTTTATATATATTGTTATACGAGAGCCAGAATCGTTTTTATCTTTTATGTGATTCTTATGAAAGAGTTTAGCTTAAATTGAATTAGCTCTGAATTTTTCGTTCCACTGAATTGTGTATCTCTAGCTATGATAACCGAATTTGGCTTAGTGTTCGGGGTAAAGGTGAATCTTCTGTTTAAAAGCTTAATTTTGTCTTCTATCAAATGTTGTGAACTCAAATTCAACACTTTTAAGGCCAAGTGAAATTAAAGTTAAAGATATACATGAATTTATTAAGAAATTAAGATTAACAGATTTTTTAAAAATAATAGTGAAAACGAAGGATCCTCGAAACAAATAAAAAGTGATTTTTTTTATCTTCAAAAGGAGAGAAATCTAGAATTTAATATAATATGTAATAGTGTAGAAAACGCGTATTATAAAATTTTTCCGGTTAAAGATAATGTTTCAATAAAAGAAAGAATGAAATTTATAAAAACCTAAAATATGGAAAAATCTTTAATTCAAAGAAGTAATAAATATAATGTTTTTGTTATCATGGATCAATAGTATTACAATAATATTATTTAAAATCATTTAAATGTTAATGATTGATAAAATATAAATCTAAAAGTACAACATATCGATGTGTGGATGATATAACCTTGACTACAACTCGCATTAATGTGAAACTTAGCAAATACATTTTACAAATAGGTTTTGATAGACTAATGTATGGGTTAAATATAGTTGAAGGTTATGTAAACATAGATTAAACTGAAATCTTGAGCAGTTACTAAGAATTTACAGAAATTAATAATGGTATTTCTTTCCAAATTCATGCAGTTATATGTAATAATAAACAGAGAAAAGTTTTTACCAGGAAGTATTATTCTAATTGTTAGAGATTTTATATAATATGAAATATTGTATTATGTATAATTTATTATTTAAAGTTTGCAATAAATTGGGGTCAAATGTATAACTTTTTGTTTTCCTTTCTGTGTAAAAAGTGTAGCCTTATGAACTATAGATGACCATGCCAATGATGCATTTTCAGATCTTGATTGAGTATTCCACAGATAGGCTGTATAAGTTTCGTGAAAACTTATTCTGTATCAATTTGTTCAAAATTACGTATAATATTGAATGGAATTACAATAAACAGCGTTATGCTATATTAAATAAATGACATATCCTTCAAAGATGTTCTAAAATTTGTTAATAAAGTAAAAGAAGAAATAAAAAATACATAAAAAAATTTAAATATGTATGTACCAAGAAAGAAAACGATCATTTGTTGAGTGCTCATAAATTCGGAATACCTTATGTAGTACCCAAAATTTGTAAAAGTAAAGAAGTTTAAAAAATTTTAGAAAAAAGATAAAATGGAATATCTTTGGATAAAAAAAAAAATCTTCCAAAAATCTGTGGAGGGCCAATTATAAGTGAAAAAAAAACAAGGTTGTTCAACCATTGAGCTCTGTTATGCACATAATTATGATACCATTTACATCTTAAGTACAAATTTATGTAAGAGATGCTCCTGATTTTATCAATTACTTACCAGGTAAAATTGGAAGAAAATATATTACTTTAACATTATTAGATATTGTTTCTCTATGTGCAAGTATTAAAACTCGAAAATGGTATAAAAGCTACTGAATATTATTTAGATAGATATCCAAATTTATCAGATACACGTTTTAATAAAAGTGATAATTAAAGATTTAACCTTATTTTAGGTAACTGTTATTTCGTTTATAAAGGTTATATATATATATATATATATATCAACAAATATCTGGAGCGTCAATAGGAACATAAGTGGCTCCAACTTATGCTACTTTGGCTGTGGGATATTTTGAAATTCAAATGTTCAATAGTTTATTAAGTTATTTTGCAGGTAAATATGTTAGTTACTTAAAGCAAAACTGGAAAAGAATTGTGAAATATTTTTTGAAGAGTTTAAGTCAAATTAACCCTAATATCAAGTTTAATTTTGGAATTAGTAATTTAGGTTTATCTTTATATATATAAATTGCCTATGAAATGTTACTGGCGCTTTGCTAATACGTCATAATATTTTCAAAATATCATATAATGTGTCCATACGTTGTAACACTAAACAATTTTAATTAGTCTAATTTGATTCATTAATGCTAATTTGTACTTCCATGTATTCATAGTACAATAATTACCTTTAAGAATCTGTTTTGCGAGGATTTGAAAATATATCAAGCTATAAACAACATACCATTACGTAACTAAAATCGCATACATGAAGAGACATTGGAAGAGGTGTTGACAACCGCTGATAATAAACCGGGCACTCTTCCGGTAGAATATCCTGGTAATAAACTGGGCACTCTTCCGGTAGAATATTCTGCGCACAATCAGTGAAAGTAGATAAAATTAATTATTTTGTAAAAATTAGCTTATCTCAAGTAAGATCTATATTTACTTTCACTAATTAGATATCTCGTCACTGATTCTTTAAACAAATGAAGAATTGAGGAAGAATGATTAGAGAGCCGTCGTATGTTAAATAATACAAACATACAGCTCTAGCAAATGAAATCCGGATGAGGTTTTAAAGAGAGACCAGTAACAACTGTTATATATATACGATCCTAATAAATCATTAAGGAGCGTTGAATAACAGCAATAACACATACAGTCATGATAAACCAGTGAGAAGAAGAAGAAGTCATAACTGTAATACATAAAGTCCAAATAAACCAGTAAGTATAAGAAATAATAACTTTAATATATACATCCTGATAAATTACTATTCAATGAAAAATCATCACCGTGTACGTATACAATTCTCATAAACCACAGACTGAATTTTCATCCCTGAATTCGATCTTATTTTGTGTAAACATAAGCAATTCTTATATGATATGTTAAAGAAATCTAGTTAAGATGTAATATGGCTTAATGGTGTCAATAAGTTTAATCCTCTGTTCTTTGAAGAATGAACAAATCACATTAAAAAAGGTGACCTTCCAAACATACATTGTAAGTGATTAGAAAATGACCCAAATTTTAGAAATGCTACTGGCACCTTACTGCATTTTGTTTAACATAGGTTTTTAAGATAACAAAAACTTCTTTTTGCACTACGTACAAAAACTGTGTACAAAACAATAGGAAAACTCATTTACTCTTCTCTAGGTACGAAACTGTTTGCTACATTTGACGACACACATACGAACGTTTGTGGAGTTTTGCAATCTAAAACAATGAACAGAAATAGATGTGTATATGTACATATACAAAAGGCTTTGATCAATCTCAGTCATGTGCATAATCATGAGATATATATCGTAGTATAAGCTAAGAAAATAATAAAATTGAATAACAAATAAGCTTTTGTGAGCTTCTCGTAAAACAAATTGTTTTCCGCGTTTTGTTGTAACTATGATGTAATGAGTCACTATATTCTTATTTTTTCAAAACAAAGACATATGACAGGACTGTATTCCTTTCTTTACCATGATACCTTTATTTTGCTAATATTATCATATGATATTGTGTGTAGCGGTTTAACCAAAACATTTCGCTTAAGACATATACTAAGGCTTAGCATGACCTGGTGGTTAGGTCTCTCGACTCGTAATCTGAGTGTCGTGATTCGAATCCCCGTCAACGAACATGCTCTCCCTTTCAGCCATGAGGGTATTATAATATGACGGTCCAACACACTATTCATTGATAAAAGAAAAGCCCAAGAGTAGGCGGTGGGTGGTATTGACTAGTTGCCTTCCCTCTTGTCTACCACTGTTAAATTAGGGACGGCTAACATAGACAGCTCTCGTGTCCTTGCGCGAAATTAAAAGCAAACCAAACCAAGACCTGTACTGAATGACATAGTTTCTATCCAAATATTACCACATTTTCTTTTAATCTTCTGATATGTTGATGTAATCGCGATGTTTAGTACATTAAATACGTTGATGAAGTAGATTTACATCGAGTTGAATTTGATTGGGCAAGGTTTCTTTGTTCCCTCCTTCTATCTATATATCTAATATTGTTTTTGTTTTGTTTTTGAATTTCGAGCAAAGCTACACGAAGGCTATCTGTGCTATCCGTCCCTAATTTAGTAGTGTAAGACAGTTAGTCATCACCACCCATCCCCCACTCTTGTAGCAACGAATAGTAGAATTGATTGTCATATTATAACGCCCCCACGGCTGAAAGAGCGAGCATATTTGGTGGGACGGTTATTCGAACCCGCGACCTCGCTGATTACGAGTCGAGCTCTGTAGCCACCTGCTTAAGCCGGCCATATATCTAAGAAAGGAGTAAAATTGAATAACAAATAAACTTTTGTGAGCTTCTCGTAAAACAAAAGGTGGATGTTGGGAGTAACATATAGTACAATTATTAGGGTGATATTTATTCTACTTTAAGGATTTTTTAGAACTTTTAAGGGTGGAGGATGGTAGGCATTATTTAGTAGAAATACAAATTTTTGGGAGGCTTAATTTTATCTTATTTCTACTTTTAACTTTGTTACATTTTTAAAGGGTAACTGCATTTCCACAACTGGCTGAAGACAGTGAAAAGCAGTAAGAGTTGAGACGTTGTGGGTGTAAGCACTCAACTTTGTACTGTTATTGAATTTTCAACGACTGCTGACTGGTTTCTCATCTGCTTTTTGGATTTTGTCTGATAGATGGGATATCCCCAACGCTAGGGTAAATATAATTATTCTATATAGTTTCTATATTTTATCCACTCCCTATAGGCTTAATACACGAAGCATGGAAATTAAGTTTGTTCAAATAGATATCCACGGCCAAGTTATTTTATTAGCACGTAAATATATTTGTTTGATCATCAAATGAAAATAAAAACAACTTGTGTTACTCTACAACAAAACTTATTATTTTCAAATACGATGAAATGAGATTATTTTATTACAAAAAACTATAGTAAAGCATTATACCTCACTTGATCATCATCGATTGGACACCAGACGTTGAATCTCATGCGAACAGACTAGGGACTACAGAGCAACTGTGAACATGAGTTTCTAGCATAAAATTTACGTCGTAACAGGAAACAGTGGCAGTTGTTGCCTCCTATTTTATTACACTTAGATTCGAAATGCTAAGGAATTTACTAACATCAAACAGATATCAAAACAAAGGGTAACTTGCAATTAAGGATAGACTGAGCTTGCTTTAAAGCAATACTCATAGAGTTTTCTTCCTGTTTTTGTTTTTATTATCAACAGAGTAATGCAGTAATACTTCAACTGACGGTTTCTACTCAGGAATGTTAGCTATTTCCGAAAGAGAGGAATAAATACCTTGCGTAATAACAAACAATTTTTCTTATCCATCTAGTAATAAGTAATAAAAAAAGATAACATTTTCGATGTCATTATACTAACTTATAAACTTATACATTTGAAAATTAATATAAGAAATGCAAATGTGGAGCTTTTAATCTCATCTCTTTTCATTGGATGAGTCCTACAATAATTTAAAGCTATAGCAGAAATATTTTCGCATGCTCTATATGCATTAGCCATATTACTTCTGTGCAGCCTTTCATATTTGCATATTGGTGTATTAAAACCAGAAATAAACGACCTTATAACATCAAAATGTTTTGATGTTATTAGGTCGTTTATTTGTAGTATTAATATCCTTTCATATTGTAACTTTTATTCATTATTTTACCGATGGCCTTTGATTTTATCCAGACTGACAGTTTGCTACAAGTATTATTTGCAATTTTAAGAATTTAAAATTGATTATTTGCCATACTCTGCTAATCATTTTGAATTAGAATTCCTATTTGTTTTTGCACTTGTACAGCAATTGTAATATAATTTGATTTAAAAAGTTAGATCAAAAATTAAAATAACACAAATTTCACGTTCAAACTTGAACATGTGCTACGATTCATCAAGTGGTAGAATGATTCATTACAATTTTAAGAATGATTTCGCCTTCTTTCATTTTCATTAGCAATAATAACGTCATTTGTTCATGAGCAGGTCATATCAAAATGTCTGCTACAAAAATGAAACCAGAAATTTAGGAAGTCGTAAAACAACAACATACAAAATACATAAAAATACTAATGAGTTTGATTCTAACTGATTCATGAAGTAATCTAATTACAACGTTTTTGTCGTCTTGATACTGAAATCTTAATAATAATTCGAAATAGTCCCGTGGTTACTTTTCATAGTTTTTTTTCTTTTGTTAATTCGTACTTTTGTCACTAAAGAAAATCCAGCCAGTGATAAAATCAGTACACTCAATAATTAATAACTGCTAATTCTTTCCTGTCAAAATGACAAACCTTAAAGTTATATTAAAAAATCAAGAGTTAGTTACAACATTTATTATTGATGAAGAAAGAAAAAGAAAGAAAACTGGGAAAAAATTTACAAACAAAGATAATTTTTACTCCAGTTATTTCATAAATGTTTATGTGTCAATCCAAGCATTGCATCACCCTTGATTGTTAATTATAGATAATTATGTAATAACATTGCACACATCTTAATATAACATAACAAAGATGTACACTAGAGGAGCATCCCTCTAGTGCATATAGACAAAAGGATAACAAAGAAGATAAAGGTATTTTCACTGGATTCTTATGTATTTTTGTGCATTCTGAGTTAAAGTTCCAATTAAATAGGCCTAATAAGTGAGACAGTTAAGATATTATGCTCTACTCACAGTCTGCATTCTGCAGAACACGGACTCGAATCCCCTTCATCATATATGCTCGCTCTTTCAGCCGTGTGGGTGTTATAAGGTATTGGTCAATCCCACTATTCGTTGGTAAAAGAGTAGCACAAGAGTTGGCAGTGGGTGGTGTTGACTAACTGCCTTCTCTCTAGTCTACCACTGCTAAATTACGGACGGCTACTGCAAGCAACCCTCGAGTAGCTTCGCGCGAAATTTCAAAAATAAACAAACGTCAACTCAATGAGACTAAATTCGAGGGATTAGGTAACGGTTTTCGATATTCAACTTAAAAATAAAACAAATGTACTTCGATAAAAGGCTCGATCTGAAAATTTCAAAATTAATACTTTACTGCCAAAAAACTCACTCCTATATAGTGTTCAGTCACGAAGATGTGGAGTTTAAGGGTTGGTTGAACTGTATTGCTCCTGCACAAAATGATGCTAGTTTAGTGTGTTGCCCCTGCTCCAAATGGTAGACGTTTTCATGTTCAGGCAGGTACCGTATTTAGCCATTTACTGCAATAAGTAGGAATCGTTGAGCTTTAATCGACTATTTCCATTGACAGAACTCGCAAAAACTGCGAAAATAACGCCTTTATAGATTTCGGGAACCGAAACTTACTCAACATATGCAGCCACTACTGTTCTTTGTG